ACTGGGTATAATATTCCAGGGTGTGTGTATGAGAAATGTGGTTTGGAGCATATGGAAGTCAAAGAAAATACTGTTTCCTCTTCCTAAAATGGCAGTTTATTGGTTTAAATTTTCTAAATCAGATTCGTAGACCCCCAACAAAGAGTCCTCCAATAACAAATTATCGTCACCCTAAAATGGAAAGATTAACGTGTATCTTCGCTGCCCTTCCTGAAACAGTGAACCGTTAAACCCTTTACATCCAATGCTTGTCCTCCAGAAAGGAGTTACTGTTACAGGCAGAATAATTCCGTTGATAAGTTTAGATTAGTGTTTAGAAACATTACGTTTAAAATTCTGTATTGAAATACATTTCAAGTCACCCTCATTTCTTCTTAGGAGCCATTATTATGCTCATAAAGGATTTTCAAGCCCACTTATTGTAATTTAGCCCTTGACACTTTAAAGACCGTGCAGAAGTATGTGGGGTGGATCATAACAGAGAGTAATGTATTAAATGCTTAAAATATTTTATTCCTGGAAAAGTAGGACATGCATTGTATGCAGAGCCTGCAACTTTTATCTAATATATGCTTACCATAAATGCACACACGTGTGTACACGTAAAATATCTTTTGATTGGTCTCTATGTAAATTAGTATTACACTTGCCAAAAGACAGCCTCTGTGTGGTACTTGGAAAGCTGCTTGACCTAGTCTCTGTAGATTTACCTAGGTTTATTTGTAGGCTCCTTGCTTTTTGAAAAGTAGTCATGTCCCGATTTTGGAGAAGCCCCTTATATCAAAGACTACAGCTCAATTTTCATGATTCTAGAACCTAAAGTTTCTTTATTAGGGGTTGTTGGTGATTGAACGTATTAGTCTAACCCAGAGCTGCTCAACAGAGAAATATTAAAAGTCCACATGCTCATAAAGGATTTGCAAACCCATCTGGAATTTTAAACTTTCTAGTACTCGCATTAACACACGGACAAAGAAATAAATGAGATTAGTTTAACGATGTATTTTATTTAACCAAATACATTCAAAACAGTATTATTTTAACATGTAATGCATATGTTTTAAAATCGAGATATTTTGCATATTTCCACACTAAATCTTGAAATCCGCCTGGATCCTCGCTTTGGATCAGACACGTTCCAAGGTCTCCGTGGCCCTGTGTGACTGGTCACTACCGTGTTGGATGGTGCGTGTCTACTTCATCTCGTATCATTCGGAAGGAAGTAGGTGTAGCAGAAATAAAGACACGCTGCTTGGTTCTGCTTTGTCCAATAGGAGTTAAAATTTTTAATTTAAATTATTTTTGTTAATTAAGTAATACACATGCTTAAAAGTGATAAAAAAGACAGTGAAAAGCAATCTCCCTCCCAGTGCTATTCTCCAGTTGTCTGGTTTCTTTTCCTGGAGGCAAAGGCAAAGGACGATGACCAGTTTGCTGTATCTTCTCTCTGAGATGATTTGTCATTTATTTTCTGTAAATGTACAGATTGTAGCATTCTTACACACACTGTTCTCTGCAGCTTGCTTGCTTTCACTGAATTACTTGGAGATACTTCCATCTGAAAATATAGGAGATGCCTCATTTATTTTAGTGGCTATGTGGTATTACGTTTTGTGGCTGTCCCATAATTTATTTAATCCAATGCTTATTGATAAATATTTAGGTTGTTTCTAACCTTTTGCTATTACAAAAGATTGTGCGTACATCATTAACACATACACACACACACACACACATGAATATGTCAGATAAATTCTTAAAAGTGAAGGGCCAAGGAAAGGTTTTCTGAAATTTTGTAGATATTGCCAAATTGTCCTGCATGGCATTTGTGTCACTTGACTCCCAACAATTATGCAAGAGAGCGTCTGTTTTCTCACGTGCTTGCCAACATAGTATAGTGTAGTATTAAACTTTTTGATCTTTTCCAATTTGAGGAGAGTGAAACTGTATCTTGTTGCAGTTTTCATTTGCATTTCTTTTTAAGAGTGATAGTGGGCATCTTTTTAAATATTTAAAAGCCATTCACATTTCATTTTCTGTGAACTGTTCATGTGCTTTGACCATTTCCTATTAAGTAGTTGTTTTCTTTGTTAATTTGTAGCAGTCCTATATATTAAGAAAAGGTTTGGCTGGGCATGGTGGCCCGCACCTGTAATCCTAGCACTCTGGGAGGCTGAGGAGGCAGGAGGATCGCTTGAGCTCAGGAGTTCGAGACCAGCCTGAGCAAGAGTGAGACCCCCATCTCTACTAAGAATAGAAAGAAATTAGTTGGATAAATAAAAATATGTAGAAAAAATTAGCCGGGCATTGTGGCGCATGCCTGTAGTCCCAGCTACTCGGGAGGCTGAGGCAGGAGGATCGCTTGAGCCCAGGAGTTTGAGGTTGCTGTGAGCTAGGATGACACCACTGCACTCTACCCAGGGCAAAGGAGTGAGACTCTGTCCCAACAAACAAACAAAAAAAAGAAACAGAAAAAAAAGAAAGGTTTTATGTGACTTTAACTTTGCTAACATGTTTATTTTTGCACACAAATTTAATGAATTTTTCCATCTTTTCTTTTATGGCTTCTAGATTTTGCATCACAAAGAACTTACCTACTCATTATTCTTTAAAGTTTTCTCAGACTGTTTTTAATGCTTTTTAGGGGGTTTTGTTTTCTATGTTTAAATATTAAGTTCATCTAGAATTTATCTTGGTGGAAGGTGGAAGGGATGGATCCAACTTTTGCTATTTTTTCAGAGGACTACTCATACTCAGTTACTCCAGTATCATATATTTATTTGAAATGCCATCATTATCTTACACCACATTTCTGTGTGTATTTGGATATCTTTTCGAACATCCAACTTTATCCCATTGATCTTATTAATACTGTTATCTATTTATATGCAAGCACAAGCTGTTTTAAATATCGTGGTTTTTGTTGCTTTTTAGTATCTTTTAATTTGTCTAGTTCCCTACCCAGGCCCCATTAAGATTCTTTTTCAGAATATTCCTGGCTACTCAGTTTGTTTCTTTCTCCACATGAACTTCAGAGTCAGCTATTTTCATTCCTAAAAATATTCTGCTAGCATTTTTATCAAGAGCACATTGAATGAATAGATTAATTTTACAACTATCCAAGAACATAATATAACTTTTTACTTGTTTTCTGTTTGTTTTTGTATATTAATCAGTATGAATGTAAAGTTTAATTAAAATAGGTCTTCCACGTTTCTTCTTAGTTTTATTCCTAGTGTCTTATTATAATTACACTATTTTATTTGAGTGAAGCTTCTGACTGGTTGTTGCTTTTATATATCAAGGCTTTGACTTTTTCTTCAGATACTGTACTGAATTTTTACCAACTGTTATAGTTTTTCACTTGATTCTCTTGGTTGACCAGCATACAATCTTACTATCTGCAAATAATTTTAGTGTTGCTTTACAATGTTTATATCTGGTTTCTTCCTCTGTTTGACTTGCCTTGTTTAATAAGCAATGGCTATTTTAATAGAGCTATTTTTAGCCAAAGGGAAAATAGTCTTGATTATTTTTTCCTACTTACATACTTAAATATAATAAGAAAAACTGTGGGAAAATAAGGCATGACTATATCACGAATGGGGAAGCAGTCACCTTGTACAATGATTATACAATGGATTGTTTAAATCTTTAGTGCCGTTTCTTCTGGCTTTCTCTATTATTTGGACTTCGAAATCTTCGTTAGCACTGCTCTCAAAAATGTCTGAATGAATAAATGACAAAATGACCGTAAGACGAGCAGATTTGTATCAATCTAGTAAACTGATTGGATGTTCACTGTATGCCAGGCATAAAAATGACACAGTAGGACTCTACTCCGAGGAGTTCATGGTCCAGTGAGAGGGTAAAGAAAATACAGTTGAGAGTGACACGTTCCGCAATCGACTGTATGTAAGATACAGAAGCAGCTTGGAAGTGGAAGTGATCAATTGTCTTAGAGAGTCAGAGAAGGAATCCTCAGGGAGACGATATCCCAGACGGGTTTAGAGGTCTGTCTGCGTAAGTCACTGTGCAAACGGAAGGATTAAGAAGGCAGCCTAGGCAGAGGGAAAAACAAAGGCATGGAGGTCCGAACTGGCTCGCTGTGTTTGGGTATTTATCAGCTGTTGTTATAGTTGGAATATAAACTGCGAGAGGGTGTCAGGAGGAGAGAAAGGTAATAACCTGCAGATGAAAAGCCTTTTAAATTAGTCAGGAATTTTCAGGAGACGTGGGCAGCCAGGCCCCGTAGAGGAAAGCGCAGAATCACCTAGAAAGAGCATTTTATGAACTACACTTTTCACCCCATCCCATCGCCCTGGGCTTGATCATCCTGGAGGAGGATGTGCCTTATCTCTCAGGTGTGTTTGAGGGGACCAGTGTGAGAACCACTGATGCAGGCCAGGTGGAGCCCGCAAGGTGTGTTCAGGAGAGGAGGACGTCAGATTTGCATTTCGGAACATTCCCTCCGACACCAGATCGAAGGGAGCCTTCCAGGGGTAGGGGAAGGGCAGGTGGGCGAGGGGAGAAACCGTGGCAAAAAAGCAGCTGCGGTAGATCACGAGGCGAGATGACTCACGGGATACAGGAAGTAGAAGGGACAGAACTTAGCGAACGATTGGATACGTTACGTGCTAGAGGAAAAAGAAAGGTGATCTTTCTCTATCGTTCTTTGCATTTTGACCAGAAAAAGAATCATTCGGGAAGGGAGCTGATACTAGGAAGAGTAACTAACACAGTATGGGCTTAGCACGGTAGCTGGTGATTTGCTCACCCTGGCCTCCATGGCCACACATATTTGAGAGTTGCTGGGAAGACAGTAACCATCATTCTCCGAGTAGCTACTGGTTGTCACTCTAAACATGAAAACGAGTCTCACGGTTTGCTCTGGCTGGTTATTCCCATGTGATGCGTGCCACAGTCATTCCCTACGATGCATTGTCAGTGTTCGATATATAAATAAATGCATTTTCATTTCTTGTTCCCATGCTCTTTAGAACTCATCCAGAGGGCAGCCTTGTGGATGGCCCCGAAGCAAGCCTGATGGAAAAGGACGGAACCAGCCATGCTGAGGGCAACAGACTAAGTCCGTTCCTGACACCGTCGCCTCCTCCCGTTTGCCAGACGGAACCTCTGGCTAGAAAGCTCCAGAATGGAAGCCCGTTGACTGAGAGGCCCCATCCGGAAGTGAACGGAGAAACCAAGTGGCAGTCTCTGAAAGGTTACGATGGAATAACCCACATGAAGGGGGCCCAGGCCAGCCGCGTGAGTCCCGACTTCATCCGGGAAGGGAGAGGCTATGCCCGGTGTCTGCAGAACGGAGGGATAAAGCGCACGGTCAGCGAGCCTGCTCTGTCCGGGCTCCATCAGAACAAGAGATTGAAACAAGACCAAAGGGCTAACGGAGAAAGGCATGACTTCGGGGAAAGTCGAGGAAGAAACCCAAGCGGAAGCAGCCGTCAAGCAAATGTCCCGGACTTGAATGGTGAGAGAGAATCCGTGAGCTCGGCGGCCCCAGACGAGGCAGTTGAAGATTTCGCCTGTTTTTCGACACCGAACCGCATCGGGTCTGAAAACCCAGAGCTTCGGATTCTGAACGCGCAGGAGGGGAAGAACGCTAACTCCCGCGACAAGAACGTCGTGTTACTTCTTAAGAACAAGGCAGTGCTAATACCTAATGGTGCTACGGTTTCTGCCTCTCCCGTGGAAGACATGCTGTCTCAACATTATCCAGACCGTGTCTCCACTGCAGCGCAGAAATCCACATCTCACGCAAATGCCGTTAACAGTCAGGCCACTGCCCAGTCGTCTCGCGAGGTCGCTCCCCCGCCGTATACCTCAGGGCAGACCCCTTCTCCACAGACCTCCAACCCCGAGCTGCCTCCGGAGCCGGCCGCGGCGGCGACTGGGGCCCGCGGTGCTGACGTTGCCAGTAAGCCAGCCGCGACGCCCGACGCCTGTCCCTTTCAGAAACCGCAACAGCTGCAAGGACAAAAAGCAGGTTTTGAGATTCGCCCGTCTCCTGCAGAGGACAGCAGCATCCCAGGAACCGCGAAGCTGGTATCTGGTGAAGAATTTTGCTCAGGTTCCGGCAGCAATTTGCAAGCTCCTGGTGGCAGCTCCGAACGGTATTTAAAGCAAAACGAAACGAATGGTGCTTACTTCGAGCAAAGCTCAGTGTTCACTGAGGATTCCTTCTCTGCGGCGACCACGCCACCGCCATCACAATTGCTACTCTCTCCCCCTCCTCGTCCACGGGTTCCTCAGCTTCCTTCGGAAGGAAAAAGCACTCTGAACGATGGAGTTTCACAGGAACACCGTCGACACCCCAGCCAAAGCAATGCGACTCTTTTAAGGGAAGCGAAAATAGAGGGTCGACCTGAAGCACGACCCTCTCAGAGTCCCGATCCAGCTACACGTGGGTCGAACCCCTCTCTGATGCCTTCAGAAAGGTCTCAGAATAATTTTGTTAGCAAGAACGACACACGGACCCCAGGGACATTGTGTTCTGAGAAAATAAGACCAGGACCAGAACCTCTCAAGCACAACCCACCCACTCTCGGTGGCAGCGGGGGTCTGCAGAACCACTGCCGGCAGTTGACGAGACACAAAGAGCAAGAGGCTCTGAGGGGTCGAGACCGGGAACAGAGACGAGATCTCGTGCTCCCAACACAGCACTGTCTGAAACCGGGATGGATCGAATTGAAGGCCCCGCGTTTTCACCAGGCAGAAGCCCATCCAAAACGCCCGGAAGCGTCACTGCCACCGACCCTTCCCTATCCATCCAGCTCCTCCAATCACATGACCTCCAAACAATACACTGGAAATTCCACCCTACCTGGGGGGCTCCCGAGGCACCCTTACATGCACAGAACCGTACAGCTGGAGCAGCAGTCACAGATGTACCGAGCTGAGATGAATCCAGGGCAGTCTCGAGGTACAGCGGACCAACACCTCCAGTTCCAAAAACCCTCACACCAGATACACTTCTCCAAGACGGACCCTTCGCCCGGAGCTCACGTGCGGTCGCTGTGCGCTCCTAGGTTTCATTTTCAACACAGAGCAGATCCCCCAGCTGCGAAACTCACACCCCCGTTGTTAAAACAGCACTTGAATCGACAGGCTTCGGAGACGGAGCCGTTTCCGGACTCACACTTTCTGCAACACAAGCCTCACACGCAGGCGGCCCAAACACAACTGTCCCAGAACTCGCATCTCCCTCAAAACCAGCAGCAGCAGCAGACATTACAAGTGAAGAATAAAGAACAAGTGCTGCAATGTTTTCCTCATCCCCAAAGCAACAATGATCAGCAAAGAGAAGGATCCTTCTTTGGCCAGATTAAAGTGGAAGAATGCTTCCACGGTGAAAATCAGTATTCAAAATCCAGTGAGTTCCAGGCTCATAATACCCCAGTGGGACTGGAGCAAGTACAGACTATGAACAGTAGAAATTCCCCTTATTGTCAGATTTTGAAATCAAGTGCAAATAAAGGGCAGATTCCTTCTTCAAACAGTGCACACCTCGTTCCAGAGAATAAAGAACAGACTATACATTCTGAACTGTTTGTTGGAAACAAGACCCAAAACTTGCATCATTTGCAATATTTTCCAAATAATGTGACCCCAAAGCAAGATGCTCTTCACAGGTGCTTTCGAGAACAAGAGCAGAAGCCTCAACAAGCTTCAGTTCTACAGGAATATAGAAGTAGAACCCAAGATATGTCTAATCGACAAGCTGCACAACTCACTCAGCAGAGGTACTTAATGCATAGCCAAGCGAATGCTTTCCCTGTGCCTGACCAGGGAGGGGGTCGCGTCCAGACTCCTTCCCAGAAGGACCTTCACAAGCACGCTGCTCTCAGGTGGCACCTCTTACAGAAGCAGGAACTGCAGCAGCAAACGCAGCAACCCCAAACTGAGTCTTGCCGTGACCAGGTGCACAGGCCAGTGAAGGTGGAACCTGGTTCCAAGCCCCATGCCTGTATGCACCCCGCGTCGGCGCAGCCGGAAGACAGAATGTGGAAAAAGATAACTAAGCAAGAGATCCCACCTCCGAGCTGTGATGATGTACGGCAAAAGAGCATCATCGAGACCATGGAGCAGCACCTGAAGCAGTTTCAGGTCAAATCTTTATTCGATCATAAGGCTCTCACTGTCAAATCGCAGAAGCAAGTAAAAGTTGAAATGTCAGGGCCCGTCACGGTTTTAACCAGACAGACCACTGCTGCAGAACTTGAGAGCCACCCCCCAGCTTTAGAGCAGCAAGCAACTCCTTCTTCAGAAAAGACACCAACCAAAAGAACAGCTGGTTCTGTTCTCAATAATTTTTTAGAGTCACCTTCCAAATTACTAGATACTCCTGTAAAAAATTTATTGGATACACCTGTCAAGACTCAGTATGATTTCCCATCATGCAGATGTGTAGGTAAGTGCCAGAAATGTACTGAGACACATGGTGTTTATCCAGAATTAGCAAATTTATCTTTAGATATGGGATTTTCTTTCTTTTTTTAAATCTCCAGTCTGGCAGCAATTTGTAAAGGCTCATAAAGATCCGAAGCTTACATTTTTTTGTCTTTAAATTACAGATGCTTGTGCCGTGCAAGAGAAAACTTCATTTACATGCAGTTTTCCCAAAAAGTTTAAACAATTGTGCGTGGTTATTTTTACCTCTATTCAGACCCTTTAAAATTTGGATGTATCTGTTTTAGTTGAATCTATCTGCTTAACTCTTTGCATATTATCTCCTGGAGAGACAGCCAGGCAGTAAAAAAAAAAAAAAAAAATCTATTAAAATGAGAAAATAGCTGCCATATGCAATCTCATGTAGGAACTTTCAATTTTTTTTAAATCAAGGTTGAACGTGTTAGTAGTTTTACAGCATTTCTGGATAATGGGGAAATTATTGTCTTCGGTCTTGGTGAGTTGGGGAGATGACTCCGCTGAAGGGCTTAGTGCTCGAAGTTGCCCTTTCTCCCTTTGCGCACTTGAAACATTGTGATTTATGTATACTTCGATTCCATTTTCTCTAAAATTTCACTTTTTTCATTTAAAAAAATATGGTACAGGCATACCTTAGAGATAGTGTGGCTTTGCCTTAGCACAATAAGGCAACGGTCGAAAGAGAGTGAGTTAAATGAATTGTTCGGTCTCCCAGTGTATATAAATGTTGACACTCTAATCCAGGAAGTGTGCTAGAGCATCGTATCTGAAGAAACAATGTGTATATCTTAGCTAAAAAATACTTGATTACTAAACAATGCTAATGAGCACCGTAGCCTTTAGTGAGCCGTAATCTTTTTGGGGGTGGGGTTTATTGCCTCGATGTTGACGGGCCCCGACGGTCAGGGCGGTGGTTGCTGAAGGTTGGGTGGCAGTTTGTTAAAGTGAGACGACAGTGAAGTTCACTGCACGGATTTACTCTTCCTTTCACGAAAGATTTCTCTGTAGCGTGTGATGCTGTTTGATGGCGTTTTACTCTAAGTAAATCGTCCTTCAAAATTGGAGTCGATCCTCTCAAACCCTGTTGCTGCTATCTTGACTTAGCTCTTGCAGTATTCTGAATTCTTTGTTGTCCTTTGGACAGTGTTCACGACATGTTCGCCGAGAGTAGGTTCTGTCTCAAGAAACCACTTTCTTTGCTCATCCATAAGAAGCAGCTCCTCATCCGTTTTTATCTGAGATTGCGACAATTCAGCCGCATCTCTGGGTCCCGCTTCTAAAAATCTAGTTCTCTTGCTATTCCCTGCACATGTGTAGTTACCTCCTCTACTAAAATTTTTTTTTTTTTTTTTTTTTGAGACAGAGTCTCACTGTCTTGCCCAGCTCACAGCAACCTCAAACTCCTGGGCTGAAGCGATCCTTCTGCCTCAGCCTCCCGAGTAGCTGGGACTACAGGCATGCGCCACCATGCCCGGCTAATTTTTTCTATATATTTTTAGTTGTCTGATTAATTTCTTTCTATTTTTAGTAGAGACGGGGTCTGGCTCTTGCTCAGGCTCATTTGGAACTCCTGAGCTCAAACAATCCGCCCGCCTCGGCCTCCCAGAGAGCTAGGATTACAGGCGTGAGCCACCGCGCCCGGCCGAATATTCTTAATAGCATCTAAAATAGTGAATCCTTTCCAGAAGGTTTACAATTTACTTTGCCCAGGTCCATCAGAGGAGTTAATATCTATGGCATCTATACCGTTAAAAAATAAATTTCTTAAATAATAAGACTTGAAAGTCAAGATTACTTCCTGATCCACAGGCTTTAGAATGGATGTCACATTAGCAGGCATGGAAACATTAATCTCCTTTCCTATCTCCATCAGAGCTCTTGGGTGGCTAGGTGCATTGTACATGGTCAGTAATATGTTGAAAGAAATAGTTTCTCAGCAGAAGTTCTTAACAGGGGGCTTAAAATATTCAGTAAACCATGGTATGAGCAGATGTATTGTCATCAAGCTTTTTTGTTCTATTTATAGAGCACAGGCAGAGGAGATTTAGCATAATTCTTAAAGGGCCTAGGATTTTTGGAATGGCAAATGAGTATTGGCTTCGACTTAAAGTGATCGGCTATATTGCCCCCTAACAAAAGAGTCAGCCTGTCCTTTGCAGCTTTGAAGCCAGGTGTTGACTTCTCGTCTACAGATAAGAAAGTCTAGCCGGCGTCGTCTCCCAGTGTGAGGCTGTCGGCTACGCTGATGGTTTGCGGTTTGGTGTAGCCACCTTCCTCAGTGATCTCAGCTAGGTCTTCCGGATGACTTGCGTAGCTTCTCCCTTAACACTGGCTGCTTCTCCTTGCATTTTTACGTTAGGAAGACGGCTTCTTTACTCCAACCTCGTCCACCAACCTCTGCTGGCTCCCAACTTTTCTCCTTCAGCTTCCTCACCTCCCTCCGCCTTCGCAGAATAGAAGAGAGTTAGGGCCTTGCTCTGGATTAGGCTTTGGTTTAAGAAAATGTCGTGGCTGGTGTGATCTTCTACCCGGACCACGAAAACTTTCTCTGTATCAGCAACAGGCTGTTTCAATTTCTTACCGTGCGTGTGTTCGCTGGAATAGCACTTTTAATTTCCTTCAAGAACTTTTCCTTTGCATCCAGTCCACACTTTGGCCAACTGCATGGCATGGAGGTCTAGCTTTTGGCTTCTCTTGGCTTTCGACATGTCTTCCTCCCTGAGCTGAGTCATCTCTAAGTGAGAGACGTGTGACTTTTGCTTGAACACTTACGAGGCCATTGTAGGGTTGTTGATTGGCCTGATTTCAGTATTGTTGTGTCTTAGGGATTCAGGACCCTCGAGGAGAGGGGTAAATCGGGGAGACGAATGGATGTGGAGCAGGCAGAACACACACGATATTTATAAATGTAGTTTTCTGTCCTACACGGGCACAGTTTGTGTCTCCTCGAGAGAATTACAATAGGAATACTACAGGTCACTGATCACAGATCGCCAGAGCAGATATAGTGATGACGAAAAGGTTTGCAATGTGAGAATTACCAGCAGGTGATACAGAGACAGGAATGAGCATGTGCTTTGGGAGAACGGTGCTGACAGTCTTGTCCACGTGGGGTTGCCACAAACCTTCGATTAGTAAAAAATGCAGTAACTGCCAAGTGCGATAAAACGAGGTATGCCTGTATTCCATATCTTTTTTTAAACGAACAGCTTTTTGTTCAACTTTAGGATACATTATTGGTCTGTGGGAACAGGGAAACATTTTTGCTGATGGATGTAGATACATATTTAGTAATAGGTAGAAAGAAGATCTTAATTACGGCTACGCAGCATGGAGATAGTGGAAGAGATCTGGAAGAACAACTGTTAAATCAGTGTGACTAATGACCCACTCACCCCCCATTGTCCCTCTTGTGAGACGCCCCACACTTTGTAGGAGGATGGCGGGTGGGCCACAGTGCCCGCCCCTCTTTGTGTGTGGCTATTAAGTGGTCTCTCCGGGCTAAAAGGCCCCACACGTCTTAGATAACCTTTGGTAAGTTATGATCATCTTCCATTCTTCTCTTACCATCCTAACCCTAAAACTTTCCACTTGTTCATGTTCAGCCCTTTGTAATAGCCCCTTCTTTTCACCTGACTGTCCAGCGCTTTCTCTCATTTTAAGTTGCTCCGCAGTGCATACAAATACGGGTCTGGATTGAATATCCTTATTTTCCAAACAGAGTGATTAAATGTCGTGGGGAAACAAGGATAGAAAAAGGGGTCCTGGATAATAAATCTGGGGGTGGGATAAACAGGAAATTTTATTTTTAATCTTTTAACATCCAAGTGGCAGGCAGGCTTCTAGTTAGCTTTAAAAATTTTTTTCAGTTAAAAAAAAATTGGGTTGTAGTGGGTACTACATATAATACATTCTAATTCCCTGTTTTCTTTGTTTTGTCGCACTTATTTGGTTTCCAATGATTTTTATCCCATATCTGAAATGTAATTATTTTTATCAACAGCCAGCATGTACATATACTTAATTATATCGCACATTTTCTGATAGATCAGTCCGTCAATTTACTCTATTTTAAAGAAAAAAATTTTTAAAGTCACTTGTTAGGGCCCTTAATGTGCAGTTGGGGGATGAGCTTTGTGGATGTAGCCTTTATATTTAGTATAATTGAGGTCTAAAATAATAATCTTCTATTATCTCAACAGAGCAAATTATTGAAAAAGATGAAGGTCCTTTTTATACCCATCTAGGAGCAGGTCCTAATGTGGCAGCTATTAGAGAAATCATGGAAGAAAGGTAATTAACGCAAAGGCGCAGGGCAGAGCGGCGTTTACCCTTTTGTACGTGTCAGCCTTTCCCAGCCTCCACACACAAAGCAGTAAACAATTGTAAATCGAGTCATTACCGGCAGGCGTAGCTGTTCTAGGGTTGCCAACACGACACACTGCGCTATTCACCGGAGAGTCACAATATTTGACAGGACTAATCGTCTGCTAGCTGGCACAGGCTGCCCGCTTTGAGACAGATGCCAGGAAACCGAGGCATGAATGAGGAGCCGCCGGCCGTCTGCCCGGCACGGGGCGCCGGCGTGGGCGGCAGCGAGGGTCCCTCTCTGGCTTTCCCGCTCGAGGGTAAAGCGTCGAAGAGGAGAGAGGGGCGAAGTGTGGTTTACGAAAGGCACCACCGAGTTACGTTCAGCTAGTGTTGCAAGGACTGTTAGTGATCTCTAAGGAAGACTTCTCTTGCTATGAACAGAGAGCAAGTGTGACAGTGTTGGCCAGGAAGACAGATTCTGTTTACAGCTGCCTTTTTTTTTTTTTTTTTTTTTTTACTATCAATCACAGGTATGCAAGTATTTGCCTGTATCTACGCAGTTACTCCTGCATGTAGACGACTCTTAGGAGCGAGATAATCAATGCAGAGAGGGCCTTTCATATAGATATCCACAGCTCTGAGCTGTCATTCTACTACGGTGGCTTTTCATGGAGAGGTAGGCAGTGTAGTTATTAAAATACATTAGGGTACATGTGGGCAGCAAGAACACATTCAGTATCATTCTTGCTCCATTTCCAAATTATTCATTTCTAAATTAGCATGTAGAAATTCACTAAATAATCATCGAGTGGCCTGGCAGAAACAGTGAATTTTCCTGAGTGCCTTTTTTTTTTTTTTTTTAAGAGTCTGGCTCCGTCGCCCCAGCTGGAGTGTGTGGCGTAATAGCTCGCTGCTCTTTTTTTTTTTTTTTTTTTTTTTTTTAAAGTAGTGCTTTGGTCATAAGGGAAAATATAGTCTATTTCTAGAACTATATTTTCAACATGGCTGGATACTAATTACTTGCCAGCTCCCTTTTTATAAATGTGACAGAGTCTTTGAAGAATAACCCTAACTAAAATCTATTATGACTCCCTAAGTTTTAAAATATCTAAATTTAGTAAAGGACTAAAATCAAATACTATGTTTTAGAAAACGGAATTTAGCAAACTAACTTAAATTTTGTGCTTTGTGAATTATGTATAAAAATAAACTTTCCCATTATTTTCACCCAACATGTGATTTACAAATAGTTCATTATAATTATATTTTGATACTGAAGAAAAACAAGGCTTAAAAACTATTATCCAGTTTGCTTGGTCGTAGACCTGTTTTTAAAAAAAATAAACCATTCATTTCTCAGGAAGTGGTCATAGAATAAAATTATGCTCAAATGTTCAAATATTTTCATTTCCTCTTGAATTCATGTGCTAATAATTGTGTGTGTGTGTGTGTTTCTGTGGGTTTCTTTAAGGTTTGGACAGAAGGGTAAAGCAATTAGGATTGAAAGAGTCGTCTATACTGGTAAAGAAGGCAAGAGTTCTCAGGGATGTCCTATTGCTAAATGGGTAAGTGTGACTTGAGAAGGCTTCGTTGGGCCTTTTTATTTGTAAGTCTAACCCTGAGAATTGAGTTATCCAGATCAAGGAGTCATGCCAGTTGAGAAAAACATTGCCTATATTTTTTTTTTTAGCATGTGTTGCTTCTTTAAGAAGGCAGATGAGTTTTAAAATCATGAACACACTGCCATTAATTGAAAGAATTTAGTGGTGAGGGGGTTGTCCGTTCCCATGTGTGATAAAAGCATAATTCTTCTTGGAATGTGGAGAAGTGGTTCTTCTTCATTAATTAATCAATTAAATAATTAATCTTTGCATTGTCATTTATGAAAACCTTTACCGAAGACCTCGTGTCTTTCACTTAGCCGCAGCCTTAACGCAGGTAGCATTACGCTGTCCGCGTGGTACTGGGCATGGTCAGCCAGACAGGAAGGACCAGTTCTGCGTCTCTCCCTGTTCTGACGCCAGGGCAAGCCCCACTTTACAGTCGGGCAGCCAGAGGCAGGAGTGCCCGTGCTGATAAAAGTTGCCCTGGTTGTGGCCCAGACGGAGAAAACATGCATGCGTCAGTCGGTGCTCCCATCTGCCGCAAGTGACCCTCGTTTTGCTCTGGTCGGGGTGGGGGGTGTCTGGGATGAACCGGTTACCCACGCAGGTGGTCCGCAGAAGCTGCAGCGAGGAGAAGCTGCTGTGCCTGGTGCGGGAGCGGGCCGGCCACACCTGCGAGGCCGCGGTGATCGTCATCCTCATCCTGGTGTGGGAAGGGATCCCGCTGCCTCTGGCCGACAGACTCTACTCGGAGCTCACCGAGACGCTGAGGAAGTACGGCACGCTCACCAACCGCCGGTGCGCCCTGAACGAGGAGTAAGTGGGGGCCGGGCCTGTGCCCGCTTCGCGCTCTGGTGGGAAGGCTTAGTCTTTGGATTGCAGGACGGGAGCTGAGCTTGCATTTTTGCGTTCACGAAATGGGGATCCAGGTGCCTGCTGCAGTTACCTGATAAGAAGTTGTGTCTACTAACAGGAATAATCTGGGTTATTTTATTAGTTGATATTTTGCATGCTCAGAATTGAGCCATGAACTAGGAGTTTGCTAGAAGTCCAAGTGTCGGTACCCACAGGGCTTCAGTCATACCATCAACTCGAAATTATTTGTGTGTGCGTGTGCTACGAGTGACAACTCTCGTGTGCTGACGCCGTGTTAATGTTGATACCACTTCTGTGTTGCAGTATCTGGAACAGAAAGTAAGTTTGGTGAGAGACTGGGATTCCTATGTCAAGAACCTAAATATATATATACAGCAAACATAAAAATCAAGGGCCTATAAAAATTCTGTAGAAATAGAACTGATTTTTACTTCCAGTCCATTATTTCTACAGTGGTGATCAAAATTGCTTCCCCTTTTACTGGGCTACATGATCAAGAAATTACTTACTATGATTATGCTTTATTTTCCAGGAATAAAAAATTTGGAATAGGGCAGCAAGGGTGTGCAGTTAAATATATTTAGCGCATCTGGGCTGCTGATGTTTTTCGTTTGTTTTTTAAACTTCATCCACTTTGTAGGAAGTCTGAACTTTCGCCTGGAGAAAGCTTCATTTTTAATATCCCTCTGCTATGCTATCCCTGTATAACATTAAAACATAGGAGAGTTCAGTGCTACCCTGAAATCGCACAGTGGTTATTTTGATCATAATTGGTTCTAAAATTATTTTAATTTTACACTTCTTTCTTTATTTTCCTCTGTATCCACCAGCTACAAAATCGTTTGCTGAGCTTATGGAGATATGCATGCCGCTCACTGCTAACCCCTTGATAACCAAATTTGTTCTTGTCCTGGCTCTAACTCTACCTGCTGTGGTTTTACTACCTTTTGTGTTATCACAGTTTTTCTCTCTGGGTTGCGGGGGCCAATCAACTATAAATAATCTATTTAGGAAAATTATTCTTCCTGTATGAAAGTGTGACTTGACTTTCTATGATATGATCCAAAATTCATGGTGTGTGCCTGACGGCCATCCGTCTACTTTTGAAACAATTAGTCGGAAGGTAGAAGTTCGTTCATAACGCGTGACTTATAAACTTAATGATGGACTGCCTTGGATGTAAAATACCTTTTAATCTACCCTAACTCTCGTATTCTTTCTTAAACTTATATCTACGTAGGCACCTTTAATCAGAAAGGAAATACAAATTAAGGTACCTTGGGCCCATATTAGTAGTAGCATTTCTTGCTCAGCATTTGGTCATGCTGCATTGTGCAGAAATCATCTTATACTTGATAGCTGGAAGTTCTAAATCACTACAGAACTTCCTGTGAAAATGACAGTTGTTCTTTTATTTAAATTTCTTTAATCTTCATGTAAACTATATTTCACATTTATTATAATTAATTTGATTTTCATTAATATTGTATATCTGGTATTTCCCCTGAAGCCTCCTTCCTTCATTTCCTGCAAATGCCATTGTCTGAAATGGAATCTGACACATATAAAAAATTCATGTTAAATTTCCTAAATTTTGTTATGTTGCATTTGAAAACCATGAATGGTTGGACCAGGGTCTCAGAAAGTTGTAATTTGTTTAACTGGTCTAAATGGGAGGCAAGTACAAAACTATTAAAAGACATGCTTCAAAGATTAGGACATTTTAAAGGTCTAGCTACACACTTTTAATTATTTAGATAATTTTAAGCTCGTGCTTCTATGCGTACTAAGATCGATTCTCCAAATTAAAAAAAAAATGTTCTACTTATTAATAAATACGTGGTTAAAATAGGCACTTACCCAATGGCAATAGAGACTACACTTAGAAATAGCTTTTGAAGTTTCTTCTAACCCGTAAATAAATTTTATTTTATGGCCGGCAGAAGTTAAATTAAGACTTTTTGCCAAGAACAGAGAATAATCTCAGATGGGGGCTGCCGACTCGGTTTCGTGTTCAAAGCTGTGTGAACCTCACTGAGTTCTTACAAATAAATCTCTGAGCCCACGTGTGCCATAACCACCCACTGTGAGCCCAGAAAAGATCTCTGAGAGCATCTTTCGGTGAGAAAGTCGCAAATTGATTTTTGCATTTCATTTGAGCCAAACCAGCTGTTTCTTCTTTAGAGATTTCCCTTTGAGATTTCCATCTTGTGACTAAGCCTAACCAGTATTTTTTGGCAAGTAAGAGCGGTGGGGAGTGTGTCTGTCATCGTAAGGAGCTGGAAGCCAGAGTGCCTTCTGCCGTAGTGGGTGATGTTAAACATTTTAAGAAACTTTATGTTATAAAAATTTCAGACATACCTAAAAGGAAGAGTACGATATAAAGAATCCCATGAGCCTCTCACATGGCTTCAATATTTATCGACCTTTTATTGATATCGTTTCATGTATTTCTATCCCCACACCCACCCCCACTAGTATTTTAAAAGGTGAACGCATGGAGAAATGTTCCTTTGGAAGAGTTTGTAAAGGATCAGTGTTAATTCTTTAAATGTTTCATTTAATTCACTAGCAAAGTTATCTAGTCCTGGGCTTTCCTCTGTGGGAATTAAAAAAAAATTACTAGACTTTATTTTTTTAAAGCAGTTTTAGATTCACAGTAAAACTGAATGGAAGTTACAGAGCTTCCCACATACCGGCCAGCCCTATACATACATGACCTCCCTCATCGCCAACGCCGCCTGCCAGAGTGGTACATTGGTTACGATCGATGAACCTACGTGGATACATTATTATCACTCAGATTTCAGAGTTTACACTAGGATTACTCTTGGTGTTCCATGTTGTATGGATTTAGATACACGTTTAATGATATATATTCACCCTTATGTAACATACAGAATCGTCTCACTGCCCTAAGAATCCTCCGTGTTCCACCTGTTCATCCCTCCCTCGCTGATAATCCTTGGCCGCCAATGATTTTTTTACTGTCTCTGTAGTTTTGCCTGTTCCAGAATGTCATATAGTTGGAAGCATACAGCATGTAGCCTTTTCAGAAAGAAACCAGACTGGTTTCTTTCACTTAGTAATACTCATTTAAGATTCCTTTATGTCTTGACAGCTCACTTCTTTTTTAGCATTGAGTATTATACATTGTCTGGATATTCCACAGTTTCTTTATCCATGAACCGATGAAAGACATCTTGGTTGGTTCCAGGTTTGGGCTCTTATGAATTATAAATATCTGTGCAGGTTTTTGTGTGGACCAAGTTTTCAGCTCCTTCTGTCAAATGCCATGGAGCACAATTGCTGGATTGATGGTGAGAGTATGTTTAGATTTGTAAGAAACTGCCCACTCTCTGTAAAAGTAACTACACAATTTTACATTCCCGCCACCAGTGCATGAGAGTTCCTGTCACATCCTCACCAGCATTTGGTAGTGTCAGTGTTTTGACGATGCTGTTTCACTTTGCATTGGCTGAAGATGTAATGATGTGAAACATCTTTTTGTACACGTATTTCCCATCTGTGTATCTTCTTTGATGAAGTGTCTGTTAAGGTCTTTAGCCCATTTTTTTAAATCAGGTTGGTTGTTTTCTTATTGTTGAATTTCTAGTGTTGTTTATATATGTTGGGTAATAGACCTTTATCAGATATGTCTTTGCAAACATCTTTTTCCAGTTTGTGCCCATCTTTTCCTTCTCTTGACACTGTCATTTGCAGAACAGAAAATCTTAATTTTTATGAAGTCTACCTTGTGAGTCCTTTTTTTTTTTTTTCCCCATACATAATGCTTTTGATGTTGTATCTAAAAAGTCATCTAGATTTTCTCCTGTGTTTTCTGCTAGGAGTTTTATAGTTTTGCATCTTACATTTAGGTCTGCGATCCACTTTGCATTAATTTTGTGAAGGCTGTAAAGTGTGCAGTTTAATTTTGCATGGAGATGTGTGGTTGTTCCAGCACCATCTGCTAAAAAGACAATCTCTGCTTCATTGCAGTACCTTTGCTGCTTGTCAGAGATCAGGTGACAATATTTACGAGGTCTGTTTCTAGGCTTTGTATTCTACCCATTGTTTCATCTGTCTGTTCTTTCACTAGTACCACACTGTCCTGATTCCTTGGATTTTATAATCATCTTTCGATTATGTGTCGTCAGTCCTCTGACATTGCTCTTTTTGTTCAATATTGAGTTGCCTATTCTAGGTCTTTTGCCTCTTTTTATGAACTTTAAAATCAGTTTGTCAATATCCCCAAAAAACTTGCTGGAATTTTGATGGGGAGATTACATTGAATTTCTAGATCAAGTTGGAAATAACTGACGTCTTGACAATATCGAGTCTTCCTATCCATGAACACGGAATATCTCTGCATTTATTTAGTTGTTGACATCTTTCATTAGAGTTTTGTAGTTTTCCTCGTATAGACCTTGTGCCTATTATATTAGATTTATCCATAAGTATGTTATTTTGGGGGGTGCTAATATAAACGATAACGTGTTTTTAATCTCAAATTCTACTTGTTCATTGCTGGTATGCAAAAAAGTGATAATTTTTTTGTATATTAACCTTGTACCCTGCAACCATGCTCTAATTACTTACTGGATCCAGGTTTTTTGTCAACTCTTTTGATTTTCTAGGTGATCATGCCATTTGTGGACAAAGATAGCTTGATTTCTTCCTTCCCAATCTGTACACATTTCATTTCCTTTTCTTGTCTTAATTGTATTAGCTAAAACTTCCAGTACAGTGTTGAAAACCAGTGGTTAGTGGCATATTCTTGCCTTGTTCCTGATCTTAGCAGGACTTATCACCATTAAATATATTAGCTGTAGGGTTTTATAGATGATGTTTATCAAGTTGAAGAAGTTCCCCTCCATTCCTAGTTTACTGAGAGTTTGGGGTGTGTGTGTTTTAATCATAAATGGGTGTTGGATTTTGTT